CTACATAGTGAGTTCCAGGTCAGTCTCAACTACATAGCGAGACCCTATCTCAAAACAAACAAACAAACAAACAAATAATAATAATTTGGGTTAAGCTGTTTTCCTTTTGTAATTAGTGTTAGAAATTTGTGTGTAAATTCTGAGCCTTATTTTTATTACTGAGCTCCTCTTCCTCCTTTCTTGCGTCTGCTCTGGATCTGACATTAGCACATTCATCCATTCCATTTTCCCCTTTCTGATTCTATGTAGTTTATAGAAAAGCATAACTTTTCTTATTTTATTTTCTCTTTACAGAAGGAAAGAATCTATGATGTGAACAAATGTTGCTATAAATGTAAGTTAACCTGTACATACAGAGAAAATTAAGCTGTTGATAAGAATCTAACATTTCTTTAAAACAAAATGGCAGATCATGAACAGAAAGTTTCCTATATTTTTAACAGGTATTCTAATCTATGTGTTAAACCACCAATCGATACTTAAATATAGTTATTTATTTTTCTTGATTGCTCCATTCTGCCCAGTTAAACCAGTTATATTTACAAGGGGGAAAATCTTATTTTGATAGAAAAAGATTATCTGGCTCTCCTAACATCAAGCTGTGTTGTAAGGCTACAAGTGATGATTAGCAGTGAGAACATGCTTGAAAAACTAACACATGTCCTTCCTTCCCTCTCCCCATTCCTCCTACTTAGTTCCTGTCCTCTTTCCCTGGTAATGATAACCAGGTACCTAATCCTGGGTGCTGAAACAGTTAATACCCTTATTAAAATACTTGAAACTATTAGTTCCTTTGGCTAAGAATGGAGGCTTAGCATTTGTTAAGAGGTTAGGTCTCACTTGTGCTTCTGTTGCCTACTTTGTTTTAGGTAACAAGAACTGCAGAGCTTCTCCGGTGAACGTGACTGTGAACTACAACAACTGCAAGAAGAAAGTTGCCATGGCAAGATGTGTAGGGGAGTGTAAAAAAACTGTCGGGTGAGTTTTTCTGGGCATGCGTATTATGCGCGTACTTTGTAAGCTTGTGAATGAAATGAATCTTTAAACATTACATAGGGAAAGTTTCATATGAGAGCAATACTGTTTGATGATTTAGACCTCATGAAACAAATATCTAAATTGAGACCTAAGTATTAAAACAAACATTACAGCATAGAGTCATTCTGAGGTAGTGTTAGAAACATCCCTATTGTATAGGTGGCCAAAGGCATTCATCTTTTTGTGGTGACTGCAGTGAGTACCTAAGCAAGGATGTGTCCCAAATTCTGTTTCAGCTTGAATTTTAGTTTCCATTTTCCCTTGATAAGTCATTTTACAGATAGATTAATTGATAAACAAAACATTTTGGCAGTATATATGACAAGAAATCCATCTTGTTTACTTTGTGCAACATAATATCCTACTTGTGAAGTTATGAATCTTCACTTTTGGTTTCTGAGTCTTGTGGCCTTACATACCAATTATTTTCATTGATCTGCATCAGAAAGTTAGGTGGGAGAGGTGCAAGGTCTTGGTAAAGACTACACTGCCTAGAAGCTTAAGTCACTCAGACAACTAGAATTTAAATATTGGTGGCAATCTACATCAATAGCCTTTCCAACAATGTTCATTACTGAATTTTCTTTTCTTTCAGGTACAATTATGATCTGTTTCAGTTGGAAAATTCATGCCTTTGCTGCCGAGAAGAAAACTACGAGTACAGAGACATTGCCCTGGACTGCCCGGATGGCAGTACGCTGTCTTACAGATACAGGCACACCACAACCTGCTCCTGTGCTGATCTGTGCGAAAATTCGAGAAGCTCAGCCACCCGCTAATTCAAACATCACCTTTCTAACTTCATCTAGATGATGAAGCCACCTTTTTAGTTGTATTTATTTTATAAGTGAAGAAAACGTCATGAAGGAATAACACTTGTATCTTACCCAGAGCATCAATACTTGTAATGAGACATTTGTTTCACTTGTTGACTGGACCCCCCAAAATAAATACACCTTTGCAAGCAACTGGTGATCGTATGTACTTGTTTTATAGAAATGAGAATTCTGCAAGTCACCCAGGAAGGGTGGTGCACATCTGTAATTGGAGCACCCGGGAAGGCTAAGGCAGGAAGATCACAAACTTAAGTCCAGCCTCTGTGACTGAGAGACTGTCTCCGTTTAAAGCTTACAGAAAAGGATAGGGAAAGCTCAGCATAAGAGCCCTGGCTTCCATCCCCCAAATATCCAGCAAGTTAAATAGATAAAGAGTCGTGTCATGATTTTTCAGTGCATGTTTTTACTGCTATATCTCTTTAGGCTAGTAACCTGCTTCCTATCCTCTTCTCACGACTTGAAAATGTAGCTTTTTTCCCAGTGCTCTATTCTGGGCGCATTGCCCTTTTTTTATATCCCCTTTCCTAGGACACTGCAACCCCTCATTTTCTTCTCACCCCAGTGTTTGCCATCTTTTCTACTCCTTTCTTGAAATATTTTTTTTCTCACAGTTCCAATGGCATCATTTTAAGTTAATGCTACTGCTTTTGTGCACAACTTTACTTCTCCATTTACATTTCTCTCAGCCTTACATTCTCATTTCCTTATTGCTGTCTGTTCTTTCCTATTTACTCAGGTTCTTAGACAGATTTTTGTCCTCTCGAATGCACACATATTTATGTGCAGAGCATCTCTAGTGTCTGTCACCAACCCCAAACTCTTCCCTGAATACCAGACACATAGATGCCCCTCAGAATTTATCATCTTCCTCTTTATGTCCTACAAACATCACAACCTCAGTAAGACCACAGTCAAACATCACCCACAGCTCCTCTGTATTTTGTATACCTGTAATAGCTTTACTAAAATGGGCCGGGGGTTTAGCTCAGTGGTTCTGGTGCCTGCCTTGCAAGCTCGAGGACCCAAGTACTATCCCCAGCACCAAAAAAATAGCCTTAGCTAAAAAAAAGTTGAAGTATGTTAATCCATGGCTATCATCTTCAGTGTATCTGTTGCTTACTGCCTCCATATATCCTTCCTGTGCATACATACCCAAGGGCACTTTGGATAGCATTTACATGTGTAAAAATGTGCAGTGAACACTTATCCTTTCCCAGCATGCACGCAAATCTGATTGACTTCAACCCATTTACGTACTACCCCTCACTTTTTCTATCATTTGGATGAAAAGGTACATTTCACCCTCAAGCATTATATGTCCAAAGGTGGGGGGAAATTGGTTCATTAGGATAGTGATAAATGCCACCAAAGATGGAAAATAACCCCATAAAGATGGTTATTACTGATGTCATTTCAATGGAAAGTCGCAAGGCCTTTGACTTTCTTTCATTCTTGTCACTGATTCTAAATTTTTCTCCCTTTCATAACATACCACAGTTAATTGGGTGGCAAAATTATGAAGAGTTTGAATCCTAGATAATCTAAAGGAGGGAGAGATAGCTTCTATCTCAGCGAATGGCAGAGCATGGGAGCCAATAATATGCCTACATTTCACACCTTACAGGGGTAGCTATTTTCCTTTGATAGAATTGATCATCTCAGATAATAAAACAATAGCCTCTTCTACTTTGCAATGTTTAATTTAGTAGTGAGCTGAGAATTTTAAGGCATGAAAGAGGATGGCAATCCTGATTTCTATCCAGGCCAATATGTTACAGCCCAGCACTACTATATCATCTCCCAAGATCAAATCCCTCAGCCTCTGCAGAATTGTGTGGTCCGTGGGCCAAATTGAAAACCTACCATCTGAAAATTAGGCAGCAACGCTGTATGTCCCTGTTACCTTTCTTTTCTTGGAAATTTCTTGGTTGGAAGGTGCTGTGCAAGATCTGATAGCAGTGAATAAAGTACTCAATAATTCCATAGCAGTGCTTGCTGAGACATATTGGACCCCCCAAAAAAATCAATAATTGCTTACCTGAGAAAACAACTACTGTCCTCTTTTCACCAGAAAAAGATTAGCTATCTGATGACTGACTAGCACGCCATGACAACAGCAACAAGGAAAAAGCATTCTATCACTGGCACAGTGGTGTTCAAATGACCTCATGGGAGAAAATTTAAGCTGTGGAGCCCATGCATGACCTCTGTCCCTACCACAATTGCTCCTATATTCATTAACCTCATTTAGCAACTACTGGGCAAGAAGAGAAGGCTTACTGAGAACTACAAATGTGATGACTGAAGCTAACTCCCCTTTATTGAAATTCTACCATCAAAATACTTGACGAGGAATCTTTGATGAGCAGCTGCTTGCTTATGTTCAGGTCCAGATCAATTCCCGATCACCCTAACCCTAACCCTTCCTCCTCCTGGCACCCTCCTCCAGTTTCTTTCTCTTCAATGCTTAGCTGTTTATACCAATCTGCTACTTCTAAGAACCAGTGTAAAATCCTGAATTCAGACCAAGCTGACTTCTACCACTCACAATGGCCAAAGACAATTTTTCTTTAGGGTAGTTTTTTGTTCCCCCTTAGGCTGTAATCCTGCATGGCTCACTTTTTGCTAATAGGGCCATACAATATCAACCTTGACTCTTTGCTCTGGGTCAAAGGGACATAAACAAACACCCTGTCTTAGGCCATTTTCTGTTGCTGTAACAGACTACCTGTGATTGGATAATTAATAAGGAAAAATTCATTTAGCTTGTAGTTCTAGAGACAGAGACATTCAAGACCAGGTAGCTGTGTCCAGTGTGGGCCTATTGTGCTGCAACATGGCTGACAGTATCCCATGGAAGCCATATCACAAAGAGGCTTATTGTCTTTAACAGCCCATTCTCATAAAAACTAAGCCCCAAGAGCATGAGAACTCCTGTGAGAGTTCACTTGTCTTCTCCTAAGTGTCAGCATTAATGCATTTGTGCAGGTTCTCCCTCCAGGATCTAGATATCTACCATTAGACTCCACTTTGCAACTCCCCAGGACTTAAACCTCAGCATAAGCTTTGGTGGGGACAAGCCGTATTTAAACCATACTACCTCCTCTGAGCAAAGGCAAACAAAAGTCAAATGTAGAAAAATGTGGTAGCTATATAGTAGTAGCACATCATGGGCACTGAGGAATCATCTCATCAATTCATCTTACACCTTTGAGACCTGAATGGGCCCAAATGATACCTATCCTGTATATATGACTTTAAATTCATGGATTGCTATTGCAAATGTATGATTTCAGAGCTATGTAGATAAGCTGATGCCCAGGTCCAGGACTAGATATTCTGGCTCATGGTGATCTGTTACTGCAGTCCTGAAGAAAGCTAATATTTGTTAAAAAGTAGAATAGCTGCTCCAAAAGGTGGTTTGATCTTTCTAAAAAAACAAACAACAAAAACAAAAACAAAAAC